GATGGAAATCACCCTGTCCTCCTGCTTCGACCTCCCAGGGCTGGGGTCGCATGGATCACAGGCGGATGGAAATCACCATGTCCTCCTGCCTCGACCTCCCAGGGCTGGGGTCGCATGGATCACAGGCGGATGGAAATCACCCTGTCCTCCTGCCTCGACCTCCCAGGGCTGGGGTTACAGGCGAGCACCTCCGGGTCCTGTCTTCTGAGGCCTCGTGCACGTTAGGCCAGCTCTGCCAACGGAGCGGCGTGCTCCGGCCCTGGCCGGTGATCAAGCACGGAGCGGCGGCCCGGCCCGGGAGAAGCCCAGCTCCCGCGGAGCAGGGTCCACAGACAAACGCTTCCTCCGCCGCTCGTCCCAGCCTGGCCTTTGTCCTCCGGCTCCTCATTGGCTGGCTCGGTCGAAGCCTCGCCTCTTCCGGTGGGCCCCAACAAAGGGGCGGGGCTCTGTGACGCACACGTGACGCACGCAGGGGTATAAATAGTCGGCGGGCTGCGGGCTCTCCCACAGGAGCCGCCGGCGAGGGGGCAAAGAGGAAGCTTTATTGAAGCCGGAGAGAAGGTGGGCCTGGCCCGGCGGGACGGCGCCGGCCGAGCCCCGGAAGGCAGCGGGCCGACAGCGGCGGGAGGCCGCTCGGAGGGGGAGACGGGGGTCGGGCGGGAGTCTGCGGCCCCTGGCGAGCGTGGCGCGGAGTGCCCGGTCCACGGCCCCGAAATCCCCGCTAGCGTCCCGCCCGGGTAGTGTCAGGGGCACGTTCCAGAGGATGCGCCTTTCCAGAAAGGCCGCTCTTGGCAAGGGTTCTTGAAAATTAAGAGCTAAGGTGTCACTTTTGAACAGCCCTCCGTCAGCGGGGTTGGTGACAGGTCGGGTGCCACCTCGCTGCTGCTCCCGCCACTTCTCAGTCAAGGAAGTTCTTGGGGACAGTCCGCGTCCCTGGCTTTCAAGTGTTCCTAAACTGAGACTTGGTACTAGCATCATCCCAATGCCGCCTCATGGTTGGTAGCACCAAGTACCTAAGGAGAGAGTGTTGTGCCTGCTCCATTTTGCCTGCTGGTCACTTTGAAAACGGCTCCTGGGGTGTTTATTTGAAAACCGAAGCAAAAACATATACATATGTATATTTGTGTGTGTATGCTTATGTGTTGCAGATCACTGCCATTTAGCGTGTGGGTGTGGTAAAGCTGCATTTCCCCCAAAAGATGGCTTAATTCGGTAATGCATCTGATGAGTAAGGGATTAAACATTTCATTGTAGTTTCAAAAGTTTTGCTTGGGTCAAAATTTATTTTTGCCTGGCCTTTAGTAAAGTGAAAGGTGCTTTTAAATAAAAACATTTTGCTGTGGCATATTGTGTTTTTATTAAAAGTTGGCCCTTGGTATAATTGCTATAAACCATGCCACTAAGTCCCATAAAACATGTAAGGGTGGTAGGGCATGATTCATTGTCAAGTAGTCGGCTCTTTATAAGTACCCATTCTTAAGGTAGTTTTGTCTAGAACAGCTGTGATTTTCCCCTACGCAACCTTATTATTTTTTAATATCTCAAAGTCTGGATGATTTAAGCACCTCTTCCATATCTGGTGGCTCCGTGGTAGCTCAGGACCTAATTTAATACCCATATTTAGCAAAGACGGGCAGCACTGTAATTTTTCCCTTACTAAGGAGATTAAATTTTTCACTTATTTGCAAGCTTTCATGTTTCAGAGTGAACACACAATTTAGGGCCGACAAGCAATACACCCATGAGAATTATAGGTTTAGGTGTGTCCAGCTTGCAGCTTGTGCCCCAGGACAGCCACGAGTGCAGCCCAGTTTGTATATAACATAACCCATGTCAAAAGTTAGTACAACCCCTAGACTATGTAACTCTGGGGTACCACGTGAAAGTCATCAAGGGGCTGGATATGGTGGCCCAAATCTTTCATCCCAGCACTCAGGAGGCAGTGACAGGTGGATCTCTGAGTTTGAGGCCAGCCTAGTCTACAGAGAGAGAGTGTTCCAGGCCAGTCGAGTCTAAAGTGGGGGTAGGGATGGGGGTCAGCAAGATAGGAGAAAAGGAAAAACAGGAAGAAAGTAGAGGGCAACTTGATTAAAGAAAAAATTATATATTATGGATATGGCATAGTACAGTACCACAGATATACCTAACATTAAAAAATAACTCAGCAGTAGAGTGCTTGCCTAGTATTATTTGGGAAAGTCCTGGGTTCAAGTCCCAATACCAAAGAGAAACAAAGCAAAACTTGTCTTCTAGAATGTGGAAAATGTGTCTAGGGATATATTTAGGAAAAAATGTCTTTTTCCTGTACTCTACAAATTAGTGCCTATAATTGGATATTGTTTGGAAATATGTGTGCTTAATTTATCTTTATTGAAACATTGGATTTTATGTGTTTTATTTGGACCTAAAATGTATTATTCTGGCAATCCTGGCAGGGCGTTTTCTATTGATTTAAAGTGTGTGTGTGTGTGTGTGTGTCTGTGTGTGTGTCTGTCTGTCTGTCCCCACACGTGTGCATGTGTGTCACTTTGTGGAGGTTAAAGAACCAATCTCTAGAGGAGTTCATTCACTCCTGCTAGCTTGTGGGGTCCCTGATTAAACTCAGGTCTTCAGGTCTTGGGAAAGCACCCACTTGATGTGGCATCTCCACGCCCACTCACAGTTTCTTAGTGAGTGCTAGATCCCTTGTTTGGGCATAGTAGGCAGGGGTAGTGGTTAGTTTGTAAATTATTACCAAGGATTACACACTATGTTACTAGAATAAATGCTTAGAGATTAGCAGTAAAGCTAATAATTTTAATAGCTTTGGTTTGGGGGCCCCCAATTAAATCATGAGAAAATTCAATAAATGTAATGTACAGTATAAGATTTTGTTTCTCTTCATTATAGTTGAAATTACAGACATCCTGCCAAAATGATTTCTTCAAAGCCCAGACTTGTTGTACCCTATGGCCTCAAGACTCTGCTTGAGGGAGTCAGCAGAGCCATTCTCAAAACCAATCCGACAAACATCACCCAGTTTGCAGCAGTTTATTTTAAAGAACTCATTGTGTTTAGAGAAGGTTTGTATTGCTTTAGATTCTCTATCTGCTGCTTTGCAAAATCATTTTCAATTGGAAAAATGTCTCTGTTTGACTTCCTGCATTTGTTCGTTCAGGGAATTCATCTCTGGATATAAAAGATCTGATTAAACAGTTTCATCAGACGAAAGGTAAGTGCCCCAGAGACGCCCGCTTCAACAATGTTGCCATAACATACTCGGTAACACACATTCGTAATTATGCCAATAGACACCACAGTGGTTTATGTGGGAATCCGCGTACTGTGCTTTCTCTTTTTACTAAGTCACTTTTAGTTGATTTTAACATCAGGGTTTCCAGTTTAGAAGGCTTAAAATCTTAAAAAGAGCTTATTTTGGGGCCGGGGGATTACTCAGGGCTGGTAGTAGAGCACTTACAAAGCACACATGAGGCCTTGGGTCAATCCAAAGCCACAGCATCCACTTGGAACACTGAATACACAGGAATGTCTAGGACAGTACAGAGAAACTGGTTCAGACCCTCCCTACTGCACACCTGTAGGCAAGCACAGGGGAGTTTACGACAACTTGTACTTCACCGTAAATTGTAGTAAGGCATTTTGTAAAGTTGTACAGGTTACCATCAATTATTTAAAATGCTCCAAAATCCAAAATGAAAACTAATACAATGTTCAAAGTCTCTGTTTTAGAGTATTTCACATTCCTGGTTTTCAGGTTAGGGATTCTCTACTAATAGGCTTTGTAAATACTCTAAAATATTTTTTTAAACCTCAGAATCTGATGCATTTCTGATAAGGAATACTCAAGACGTATATACTTTTTCATGAAGTAGCACTGGAGGTTTTATGAGAGATGTTTCACTGTAGGCTTAAGCACGGAGGTTAGGAGAAAGTGTGCTCTTACCGAGAGCACACTTTGTCCCTCAGTCTGCTGAGAGAGGGAGCAGATGTTTCTCGTGGAACAGTAGTTTCCTCGTGTCTTGGGCATTGTGACACAGTAGTGTATGTGTGTATAGAGGAGTTGTCTTCCGTGGATTTGCAGATTGAATGTAGCAGCCTGAAACAGTGGGCAGAGTAGCAACAAAGGGGTTGTAAGAAAAGGCAGATGATTCTAAGTTAAAAAAGGCGAAATTTGGTAAAGAATGCATCTAAAAGGAAAGCGTCTCAGAATTTCGTGTCGAGGTGAAATGACTCCTGGGAAGTAGCTGACTAGTTCTCAGCCTATAGACTGACCAACAGCTTTTGGATGATTGGAGAGTAGTTATCAGCCACCCTCAAAATGTCATTAAAAAATAAACAAAGTTTCTCTTAACGATTTATGTGGCTGAGTGTTTTCCTGCGTGTATGTAGTGATGCACATACATACACATGCCATCTTCTGCAGAAGCCAGAAGAGGGTGCTGGGTCCCCTGAAACTAGAATTATAGGCAGTTATGAGGTACCAGACAGATGCTGGGAACTAAACCAGGGTTCTCTGCAAGAGCAGTGAGCTCTCGATGACTGAGCCGCCTCGTCAGCGCCTCTCACTGTTTACCCCTGAAGTGTTCTTTCCAATTTACTTGTAGTTATTTTTGTGTGTTGTGTGCATGTGCATGCTATGGCACACGTGTAGGTTAGAGGACAACTTTTGGGAGTTAGCTTTCTTCTTTGTTCATGTGGGTCCCCCAAACTCAGGTCATCAGGTTTGGCAGTACCTTTGCCTCAATGGTTCAAACCATGTCATTTTTGTGAGTCAAAGATAACCACAGCTATGAGAAGTTAGGGAGTCAGGTCTAGGGCAATGCAAACATCAGGATGGGCGGCTCTGCAGTGAAAGACACCCAAAGTAGGAAATCCCGATGAAAAGTAGCAAGCATGGGCATTGGAAGGGCAGAGAACGAGGTGTGCACTGTTTCTGGAATGTTGCACTGTCTGGTACAGCTGCTTTCTTACAAGTTCCTGATGACATTACTAGCTAACCACGAGAAACTGTGGGACTTATGTATTCTTAGCCGCATAAACAAAGCGAGTCCATGACTGCTCTTTCTATAGCCATGATCCTAGTTTCTCAGTCAAGGCTATTGTTTTGTGTCTTCAAAACGAGGGTTGTGTTAGCAAATACTGTGTGTGTACAGGCTTACCTTGTTTCCTAATAGCAAGACTGAGTTTTTGTGGTGGGAGATAACTACCTGATAGCACTTTCAGAATAGTTATTTACTGAATATTTTATCCACCATTCATTTTAATGTGGATTTGGTTCATAATATGTAGGTTAATGTTTTTGCATCTCAAATTTTTTAATTTGGATTAACCGAGTAACAAAATTTGTAGCCCAGCCATACTTTTGATGGCATTAGAGGAAATATGGCTGTTTTTCTCTTCAATAACTACAGATATCAACAGACAGGCATGGCATACAGATAATCTGAAAGGAAGCTCACAGTGCAGTTACAAAAACAGATTGCCCTTTAGGGAGTAAAACAGTGGTAACATTGCTTCCTTCTGCTTCCTGGAGAGGTCATGAGGCAGCATGAAAGTATGACCAGGATATAGTTGTCTGATCTCATCTTGGCACATTAATCTTCCTTTTCTTGTCACCACAAATGGCTCGCCAGCAAAATATGACCATTTTCAAGTTAGAATACATGATGTTTCCTAATGTGAAAAGCCACAGTGCTCCAGATGACAAATTCACTGTTAAACTTTTCGAATGGATTTTCTTAAGTGGAGGAATATATCTATGTGTTTCCTTTCTAAGTTATGACACCAACTGAAACTGTGGAATGGCTTACTTCCCACCCTAGTCTTTAGTTTTTCCTTTGCTCATATTTTGGTTTTGTGTGTGCAGGTTTGCGTGTGTGGACACGGTGCATGTGGACGCCCAAAATGGACACTGGTCACATGCCACAGTATTGAGGCAGGGTCACTCACTAAACTCAGAGCTTGCCAACTCCTGCCAGCTAGCTCGCTCTCAGGACTGCTTCTTCCTCCCTGCTTCCCTAGTGCTGGGATTTTAGGTGACATTCCAATTGTCCTGCCCAGTTCTCACATGGCTGGGTCATCTCCTCAGTATCCCCACCCACTTCTTTTTTGGTGGGACAGCAGACTAGGAGGGTTCAATTCCTTCCCTTTAGGAACTGAGTATCAGCTTAGAGTGTATGACACTAGTTTAACACTGTAATATATGCTGGGCCTTGATTTCTAAGGAGTGAATTGTTCAGGTGGATATGAGCTGTTACAGGTTCACTAGCCTTGCTAATAAACAGACGTTGCACATAGATCTGTGTACATTGGTATTTGAAAGTTCAACCTACCAGCTTTCCTGAAAACATTGTGAGGAGTGTTTGCTGATTAACTTGCCTGGCTGTTATTTTTAGTAGAGAAATGGGCAGAAGGAGCGACATTGGAGAAGAAAGAATGTGTAAAGGAATCAGGAAGAACACCTCCAGTTTCCTGCGAACCTACACGGATGGAAAAATCCACAGACACAGAGGAGGACAATGTAGCTGGACCACTATTTAGCAACAAAACCACCCAGTTTCCATCAGTTCACGCTGAACTCCAGCCTGAGTCGGAGACATGTGAAGGAGTTTGGGGTCCTTCTTCCAAACCAACCACGCCTAAGACTACCACCCCACCCACGTCACCACCCCCAGCACCTGTCTCCGCAGAGTTTGCCTATGTCCCGGCTGACCCAGCTCAGTTTGCTGCTCAGATGTTAGGTAATGTCTCACCTACTCATTCTGAAGTTTTAATGGTGGACGTGGCAACAAGTACGCCCTCCGTTTTCCAGGAGGCGCTGAGTGCGGAGTTTGCTGAAGAAGTCGTGGTGTCTGCTCCTCTGGTGTGCTCTGGAGAGATGGTAGCAGTGCAGGTTATGAGCCAAACATCTGTGCAGGCAGTTGTGGGTCCTAAATCTAAGGCTGAACCATCAAAGGCTTCCTCAGCCCCCTTGCAGGGTGAACAAGAACCTCCTGCTTATGAAGCTCCTGACACTCAGGCTACATCACCCTTTCACGTACCACCCATATGTAACGATGTGCCTGTCGATGAAGGGGTTGTCTATGTTGAGCAGATACCGGGATTCATAGTCATCCCTTTTAATGATCAAGTTGCTTGTTCTAACGAAAATGAGCAGTCGCCACCAGTTAGTCCCAAACCGGTAGAACCCAAGAACTCCTCAGGCGTGTCTAAGCTATCTGTAGATTCCTCAGTACACATGGAAGCAGAAGCTACAGTTCTGCTCTCCAGCCCTGCTTTAGATGGTCAGCCCGAGGGACTTGCAGAACCCCTGGATGCAGAGGGCTTTGTCAAAATAGCCTCTGAAAAATCTCTGCACCTTGAAATGGAGATCGTTACCATAGACCCTGACAATCCTGGCCAGGAGGAGTCAGGGGAGAACTCTGCACCCTATTCATCTGGTGACCCTTTCCCTCCTGCGCCAGGAGGCTTTACTGAACCTGAAATCCAACCAGATGGGGAAGATGCACCTGAACAGGTTTGATGAACCCAGGTAAGAATATTAGATACTTGCACATTCACATACTGCGTTTCAGGTAACATCTGTATTCAATCACCATATATACGGGTTGGCTCTCCTGCCGACTGGCCAAAGTCCATTTTTGGGTTTTTTAAATGCCAAACCTACTTAAAGGCTTTGTTGTACTTAAAAATATACTATTACGCAGATCACATGGCACTTTCAAAGGCTGATTCATTTTGCACATGTTTGTCAACATAAGAATCTGATCGGTTTTTAATGCCTGTTTACAAAATGGTTATTAGGAAAACGTAACCCTGAACACTGCCTTTATTTGGGCTCTGGCATTTAAAACATTAAAGAAATGGTGGTGTGGCTGACTGCTTTCGCATTGAGTCAGGAGAACTATGCAACCAGGCTTGGGATGCTGGCTCAGACACTGCCTCCTGCTTGGGCCTTCCTGTGGCTGAGGGGGCAGCGGCACAGCTGGATGGAGAGAGGACAGGTTAGATGGGACTTCTGTGACACAGGAAACCAGCAGAAAGAAAACAGTGTGTGCAGTTCACATGCGTGCGTCCTCTGGTCACGTAACCCCAGGCACACAAAGTCAAGCTGCTTTCCTCCTGACACACAAGTGACATAACCTCCATCTCCATCTGATCATGGAGCCTCCCATTCCTCTTGCAGAAACTCTCAACTCTGACTCAAACCAGAACAATCCAGAACTAGTACCAACGCAGGTGTTAGCATCAAATTCTGACTGGCAGTGTGAAGATTTGCTGCAGCTGGAAAGGCAGGGCAGTGCTACACAGAGCCTGTGCGGCCGGCAATAGCCTACGGCTTGAGCATCTCCTCAACAAGTCACTGTTTTCAGGCCCTTAGCTGTTACTGAAGGACAGCTGTCCTTAGCGGACAGTTACCAGGAAAACTCAGATGAGGTCTTAGACTCTCCCATCTGGAAAGACTGATTTGGACTGTATTTTTAGGAAGCTTGAAGACAAACTGAATTTGTCCGAAGCAATCAAAAGCATCACTTAATCTGTGCACAGTGAACTTTTCTGTGAAGAGAGAAAGGCTGCACCCAGAAATGGATGGCCTAATGTTCAAAACATAAACCTGATACATTTGAGTTCCTATCTTTGGCAGGACACACTCAGCAATATAGATTCCCCTTCTGTAAGCTGATGTATGGCTTTTCTAGCTCTCTATATTAAAGTGTCCACCAGCTTTTTGCTGTCTTCTAAGGCAGATGGTGGTGCCCAGCCTTGACTAAGAGGAGTACTCTGCGATTCTGACTCCTAGGTAAAGTAAGACTGGAGATGGGAGATGACAGGCCTGTCCAAAGACCAGGGCTATTAGGTGACATGTAGTGTCTGCCTTTGGGGGAGGAGCTGCTATGCAGATGTACTATCATGATTTTTCATTGGCTTCCCATGCTTTGTGTTGACTTTTGGTAAAGTTTTGTTAACCTTCTTCTGAGGACCATGTAGAAGCCACATATAAAGTTTAAGGTTCTGGTTAGGCATGGTGGTAATTCTAGCTCTTGGGAGGCTGTGGCAGGAGGACGGCTAAGAGTTCAAGGCCAGCCTGGGCTCACAGTGACTCCTTGTCTCCAAGAGCCAACAGTGTAAGAGTCTGGAAACAGCAACTTAGAATACAATTGCTTCTTTAGCCGCAACTCTACTGACCCTGCCATTGCTATCAATTCCTTTTCCAACTGTTCTGAGTCATTCTCTTCCTTCACATTACCAGGCACAATTTCTGTAGTCCTCTCTATAGCATGCTTTATGGCACATACTATTTCAGTTGCTTATTTATATGTTTAAAAAAAAGATTTACAAAGATATGACTGTGCATAGTGCCTGATACAGAGACAAACCTTTAACGCCTGCAATTTTTTTTTTTATAGCACTAGCAACAAGCGAAGCAGGACAACCACCACCATATTCTAATATGTGGACACTTTATTGTCTAACTGATATGAATCAACAAAGTCGCCCATCACCGCCACCTGCACTTGGGCCTTTTCCCCAAGCAACCCTCTATTTACCTAATCCTAAGGATCCACCACAGTTTCTGCAGAATCCACCGAAAGTCACTTCTCCAACCTATGTGATGATGGATGACAGCAAGAAGACCAGTGCCCCACCTTTTATTTTAGTAGGCTCAAATGTTCAGGAAGCGCAGGATTGGAAACCTCTTCCTGGACACACTGTGGTGTCACAGTCAGAGGCCTTGAAGAGATATGCCGCAGTACAAGTGCCCATCGCTGTCCCTGCAGACCAGACATTCCAGAGACCCGCCCCCAACCCCCAGAATGCCAGTCCTCCCACAAGTGGACAAGACGGCCCCAGACCGAAAAGCCCAGTCTTTCTTTCTGTTGCTTTCCCAGTAGAAGATGTAGCTAAAAAGAGTTCAGGATCTGGTGACAAACGTACTCCCTTTGGAAGTTACGGTATTGCTGGCGAAATTACTGTGACTACTGCCCATGTCCGCAGAGCAGAACCTTAAGAGTAGGTAACCCTTCCTACCTTGGTGTGTGGGCCTTAACACAGCTGAGCCTTTAGCACGTAGAGGCTGGGATAGTTAAACACCTGGTAATAATGGGGTACCCTTCAGTTTATGTGTGTGGCTCCCAACTACAGAGCCGCTACTGAAGAGTATACGGCAGATTCTAAAAAGAGAATAGAATACATTTGAATTTTTCTTTAAAGTGAGGATAATCAATTTTTAAGAAACAGGAACAGAGATAAGATACTAACTGTATGTCCATGTAAGAGGTTAAATTCAATTAGGCGTAATTGGGATTTTAAGACAAATTTATCACTCAATTTTTTTTTAAATTCAATTTGGCTTAATGTCAAGCTTTTCCCTTCAGTGTGGACAGTGGGTTGAGTCAGACATGGCCCTGAGTGTAGGAGACGAGCACTGTTAAGTGCTCCGGCCTGTGGCTGAGGAAAGCTACGGATTCTGAACTAAGTTAAAGCCATTGTGATGCTGGGGGGTTCGGAGGGGGTGGTACTTCAGTTGTGTAGCCATGACCTGATTCATGACAACCTTGAAGTGTCACGAGGCCAGGCACAGCGGACTGCTAGGTAGCAGGAACTGCTAGATATTTTTGATTAGCAAAGAGCTTAGGAACAGAGGAATGTAGATCATATTTCACTCATTCCATGATATTTAAACAGTTCAATGTCTCTTCATTAACAGATACTGAAAATGATGCTGTCTGAGTCAGCATTCAAGGTGGAGTCTGTCACCACGTGAACTGTATCAATAAACTTCCTGCAAGCATAAAACTTTGCATTGTTGTTTTAGTAACTTAGCAGGTGTACGAACTACCTTAACATTGTCCAGCTCATGTACAACGGTGTCAGCTAGGTGGCAGTCTCTCTGGCCCTGGGGACACTTTTGAGTGTTAGGTTACAATATCAGCTGAAATTCTGAAAACAGTCACACTTTTTTTTTTAAATATTCTAAAGCCTTTATTTAGCATCATTATAACACTTGTTAACTTTAATACAATTAAAATAACTTACTGGAAGCTACCTAAGGCCCTTTAGGGCAAGTATCTCAGTCTGGATTTGATTGGATAAATACTATGAGATTACCCCAATCAAAGGGGCAAAGCTACTGTACAGTAGGTCTCCAGTACCTTGCAAACTCAAAATGCACAAGGCCCCCTCTTACATAGATTATAATACATGAGTGCAGCTTAATTTCTCAGTGGCATTTGCCACTACAAGTTGAAGCTTAAAGGTTTGTCATTAGGTAATGATATCGATTAAAATCTATTTCTAGGGCATTTTTGTGATTTTCCGTTCACACACAATTTAACCCTGTAAATTCTAATGACAGTGATCACAGAATGTGAAAGTAAATTCAGAGCACGAAGATGAGTAAACACCTTTTCCCGTTTAGAATTTTCAAATCAGGAATCCTGATTCGCCCCACCCCTCTGCTCCTTTTTGGAGGTCAGAAAGTAAAATTGAGAGGGCTAATTTCCCTGAAAGGCCATCTTACCAATTTAGTTTTTATAAAATAACAACCTTGACATTTGTGCACATAACATTGTACAGAAGAATTCTAAACATTTCAAAGCTACACCTAAGATTCTCAAGCATAATAGCATAAAAATATTCAAAATAACTTGATTTTTGGATCACTAGAATTCCACAAAGCTGAGTGTTAGACTAGGTATAGACTCCGGCACATGGGGGGACAGGGCAGCACCTCCATCGGCTGCTCACTTTGCATCAACAGTACTCCACGTCAGCAGACACGAGGCAGAGCGCCTCCTTCCCCGCCTACCTTGTGGGGTGAAATGCAAATCATAGAGGAGTAGAAACAAGGGGGAATTTTTAAAAACTTAAGCTTAAGACTTAATGTAGATTAGCCAGACACCGTGACTTCTCTGCACTTTAATAAATATCAGGCAGATTGAAGTAATTTCTGTCCCAGTAGCTGCCAGAGTAAATCCAGTCCTGTGCTCCATTGTGAGGGTTAGGACCTTGATGGAACCACCTGTCCAACGAGAAAGCATAAAATGTAGAGAGCAAATGTCTCAAAACCCACAAAATACTGTTGTTTAACTAGATTACAGTAGTAATTTCCTCAGAGACCCTAAAGAAGAGATAGCTTCTCTAGTCAGAGAATATGTATCCACACTATTCGAAAGGGTCTGTAGTCAAAAGTTGTTACTAACTAGATCTACAGCAGTTATCAATGAGTACTGTGATCTGTCCTCTTGGGGTCACCCATGAGGAGGCCTTCTGTGATGCAATCAGGAATAAGGAATTAGCACATGGGAACACATACCTACAGCAGGCAGGGGTACAGTGCCTGTAGGGTCGGAGGATCACAGGCACCCTCCATTTTACAGGGGAGCTGTCTGTCAGAGCAGTTACACCTGCCGGTGGCCAGGCTTGCAGCGGCAGCAGACAGGTGTGAATTCAAAGGCTGACTTCCCCTCCGATATGCCACGTACGCCCAGCTCTCGATGAACTCAGTCCAGCCTTTACTGGGTCTCAATCTGGATTCCTGGGCTACATCTAGCTTTCATTTTAACTTGTCCTAATTATCAAATGAGCTGCCTGAATCATTTCCCTGCCTCTGGAGAAATGTAGCACCCACGGCAGGTATGGCAGTGCACAGGAAGCCAGCATCTGGGAGCAGCTTTTACACTGTGCTTCAGAGTTTAGGGACCTGAGGTACTTACAGGAAAGGGACCCCTTTGCTCAACCACAGCAGCCATTTGCCTGGGTTTTATACCCACATGTCCTTTACTCATTCTTTGACAAAAGCTATTATGTGAATAAATCCAGAACATTTGGGGTAGAAGCTGTAACAGCATTTCTAGATCTTTTTTAACATTTACTTAAGTGGATCACAGATTAGCAGTTACCAGGGACTCTAATAAAACAACTACTAGGTAACTCCTAGCCCAATCAAAAAGTCATTTGATACTGTCTAAAATATTACTTTTTCTAAACCCTAATTTTAGCATGTATAACCCCTTATGTTTGGAAAAGATACTCCCTAAATTAATGATGCATGATACATGAATGATCCTGTAATTTACTCATAGATGTGAGCAAATAATTTTCATGTCCAAAGCTAAATCTGCATTGTACTCTCCCTTTTCAATATTGAAGGAATGTTGGATAGGGAGAAAAAAAGAAATTGGCTTAACTAATCTCACCTGTAATGACTGTGCAAAAACACTCTAACTTTAACTTCTCCAGTCATTTCTCTTTCACAAACACAGCTCTTGGTTTTTACCACTTTAATACTGTACTCTGGAAACCATGTCCTCTGAGACCTGGAGCAGACCAGCAGGGCTCTGGGCCCTTGCCCTGTGGTTCACACACAGCAGCAGACCAGCAGGGCTCTGGGCCCTTGCTCTGTCTCACACACAGCAGACCAGCAGGGCTGTGAGCCCTTGCCCTGTGGTTCACACACAGCAGCAGACCAGCAGGGCTCTGGGCCCCTGCCCTGTGGTTCACACACAGCAGCAGACCAGCAGGGCTGTGGGCCCTTGCCCTGTGGTTCACACACAGCAGCCTTCTAAGCCACAGAGTAGGGCACATACCTTGTCTTCCAGTCTTCTTCTGACTTGGACCTGTTTTTGCGAGCTGCTCTTTGTTTTTCCTCAAGCCGTTTCTTTTCTTCACTAGCTTGATCTAGAAAATAAGGCCAGTGGAAAGTAAGTTCTGCTGAGAATGCCAGGCCTGGGCTAAGGACAGGGACTACAGCAGCACTGTCCTCACGGACCCTCAGCACTATAATCAAGACACGGTCCTGACGCACACTGGTGCCGGCTGGTGGCACCTGTCTGCAATCTCAGATGTTTGGAAACTGAGGCAGGAGGACCCTAATTCAAGGCCAGCTTGAACAACTTAGTAAGACTCGTTCTCAAAAAAGTAAAACAGAGAGCTAGAGATGTATCCCAGTAGTAGTTCATGGGATGTATGAAGGCCCACGATCAACCCCCAGAACCAACCAAATAAATAAGACAAAAGAATTAACATTCTCTAGACTAATCATAGGAAGAGTTGGCATCTGGCAGTCGTGTATTTTTGTTTCTTCACCTTTTACTGTGTAAGACTTGCATACATGTGTATAATGTGCTTTGATAAATGCCACCTAGCAGCCCCTGCTTTTACCAGAAACAACACGCTTATTTTCACAGCCACAAATATTAGGCTAAAACGCTTCAATGAAAACCTAGTAGAAAAAACTGAATAAAAGTGAGGTTATTGGCCGGGCGTTGGTGGCGCACGCCTTTAATCCCAGCACTCGGGAGGCAGAGCCAGGCGGATCTCTGTGAGTTCGAGGCCAGCCTGGGCTACCAAGTGAGCTCCAGGAAAGGCGCAAAGCTACACAGAGAAACCCTGTTTCGAAAAACCAAAAAAAAAAAAGTGAGGTTATTGAAAATTCTGAGTGATACCTCAGAGATTTCCTTCAGTCCATTTCTAAGTAATTCAAACAGCTTTACAGATCCTTTGTTGTGTCTCTCTGTAGAGAGAACCCTGATACACACACACTGAAGAGACAGTCTGTACTGTCCAAGGCTTCCTGTGCATGTTGCAAATGCACCACCACCTCAGTAAAACTGCTATTTCCCTGGGGGGAACGCCCCCTTGTGAGGTCGACTGAGTCGTCACAAGTCTCACAGTTTAGGACTGTGTGTGACTGAAGAGGAAGCCATGCTCAGGAGGCTCACAGGTGAACTCTGAAGACAGAGGTCTGTAGAGCACAGTTCAAGGTCGCCAAGTGTCCTCTGCCGGGCACTTCTCTAGCCACACCCAGCGCAGTGTACTCCACACGGAGGAGCACGTTCAAGCAGTGACTTTGAGTTTACGTAAGGCTGATCTCAGATTTTCAAACTTAAAACCAAAGTTGCTAGACTTTAGCATCAAAGTCTCTAAGAGGCTAAAACCCTGAGTACTGCAACGCCGAGGGAGACCAGGAAGGAAGTGACCTGGAAGCCCCGCCCACCCTGGGGGCGGGCCCCTCACCTATCTCTCCATTCTCCATGGCTCTGATGTCAGGCCGCAGCCTACAGTCAGTTTTAGGAATCACACTCTCCATCTCCTTGTCTACTTCATTCAAAACCATTGCAAAGCTGGTAAAATTATACATCTGAAACATAAACAAGCAGTCAAGTCAACAGCCGCCAAGACCAGCACAAAGCCCGGAAGGAAGGCATCTGATCTGGCAGTGACACCTCCCGTGGCCGGGTGCGGGTCAGCCTTTCTCAGAGGACAGCGCTAATGGCCCTCACCTCTATCTGCACCACCCTTGGATCTTCAGCTCACAGCAGACCTCCCAGGACAGCACACCCACACCCACTCTCTTCCTTCATTAAAATCATGCCCTGCTGGGGCTGGAGGGTCTACACTGGTCAAGCATATCAGTCTGTTTAACAAGGGTGAGACCCCCAATGAAGATCCATCCAGCCCACCTCCCGGCTTGACAGAGCGCCCTCTGGTTAAGGGGGAGTGTGACATAAAAGGACACAGGCTCTGCTGCCTGAGGAAGGGCACCATGCAAGCTGGATGCTAACAGTTCCTGGATTTAACAGGCCCATGCTCACCTGAGCAGAGTTAGGAGGCCTCGGGGCTATCCTCCACAGGAGCACACTTCCAGGAATAATGAAGACGCTCTCAGAATCTGGCACCGGCATTTCATCAGACTCCTCAGACGAACTTGTCTAGAAGGCGAAGCAAGGTTTTAAATATACAACTATGTGCTCTGAAGACTGAACAAGGTCTCATAGCATACACAGAAGAGCTGAGACTCCTAGTCCAAAAGCATCTCTCCAAAAGGTTAGACAGAGGATGTGCAGGCACCCAGCCCAGGGCAGGAGGATCTGAAAGGCCTCAGCTCCCATGGTGTCCTTAGCTTCTGGGAACTACCCCTGGAGCTTAGGCTGGCTGTCAATCACCTCTGCCCTATGACTGCAAAGGGCATCCCTGGCTCTCCAAAGCAACACAGGCAGTCCCGAGATGCAGGTCAGCCAGGAGGCTGCAGGCCGGAGTAACTGAGCAAGCCTGGGACCGCAGCAGGAAGGAGTTAGGAGCAAACCCAGAAGGGGATGAGAAGACGCGCCTGGTCTTAAGGCACCTGGAGGCAGAATGAGGCGGTCACAGCTGCCTATCCAGACCCTGGGGAAGCCCTGGACAGAGCAGGGCTGCTGTCATGCTGTGTGTCCCTGCTCCTGCCACGATGACAGATGCTGGCGTCCGGGACTCGCAGGCATCGTCCACTACCCTTCTTCTTCTTCTTTTTTTTGTTTTTGGTTTTTCGAGACAGGGTTTCTCTGTGTAGCTTTGTGCCTTTCCTGGGACTCACTTGGTAGCCCAGGCTGGCCTCGAACTCACAGAGATCCACCTGGCTCTGCCTCCCGAGTGCTGGGATTAAAGGTGTGCACTACCACTGCCTGGCTACCCTTCTTTACTACAGTGTTCAAGTCTCTAGTCTTTTAAACACAAATGACAAATATTTACTGAAGAAGTTAGAAAAGCTCAGGGCTGGGAGGCAGCGTGGTCCAGGAAGAGCCCGACAACCCGAGAGCCCCACACTAAAGGCACAGCCAACACACTACACACACTGGAGAGGCCAAAGCCAATGCACACACACATTTGAGAACAGAAGGTCACACACTGGGCCACTTAGCCAAACTCATCAATGACACAGAACCAGAACCAGCAGGCTTCCGCCATGCAGCTGACAAAAAGAAGACCTGACAAAAACGTCAGGCGGAAAAGGAACCAGTGGCTTCCTCGGCCTCCCTCCCCATGGACCAGACCTCTGCTGCTCTGTGTTTAGTCTTCGCTGATTGGACCTTGAGAAGCTGTTAGTACCATAAAGGAAAACACAAAGAACTCAAAGATTTAGAAGGGCCGGTCAAATCCTCAGCATCAGTTGACCAAACGCCAGCTTCTGGTTGAGGCACGTTCAGTGAATACACAGTGGGACCAACAGCGAGGTGTGGTGTGGGACCAGTAAAAGCTGCCCGGGAGCATGGGAGTGTGTGCAGACAGCAGCAGCCACAGGAGGGCTGCGCCCTGGATGGGAGAAGGCAGGCCAGGGACGGAGCGGGAGGGAAGGCTGCTCTTCCATAAAGAATAGAGTAGAAGAGCATCCTCCGGAAGTGGCCACCACATGATGTAGGAGGGTTGGACGTCAAGTGGATGGAGGCTGTCTTTGCCAAGTTCCTTCTCTTAGCGGAGGGCGGCCATGCAGTCTGTGTCTGTGACTTGGGGTTCGGGGACATTTCCTCCTTCATCCTACTAAGGTATCCTGCCAAGGGCAGTGGGTGGAGCTGAACATGAAGAGTTGGGCACAGGCAGGTGCAGGGCAGGGCAAAGCAGACCAAAGCTGTGCGCTCCGGCGGCCATCACACAAACTGTCCCTCAGACCCAGTGCTAGCTCCTAAGTTACAGAGTCACAAAAATGAAGGTGCCATCTGCCTCTGAAAAAAACAAGAGCTTCTCACACCTCTGGATGCCTAAGAGTTAACGAAGAGACGCCAGAAGTGGAGGCTCTCATGTGTAACAAAGTAAGCCGGACTCTGACAGGCAGCACACACTTCCCCTCACACGGATGATCTACACACCCACGCACACCCACGCACAGCCGTGCACACCATGAAAGTAGAAGTGGGGGTATTTAGGAGGAAGGAGGGCAAGAAGAGAACAGGAAACAGGAAGGAAAGAGGGTGATGAGGGAGGAAATGCGAGCAAATACATGTATGGAGAGGTCAAAAGAAAACTCATCATTTAGTATGCTAATTAAAATAATTTTTTAAAAAAGAAAGAAATATCTGAGTGTGGGATCAGGGCTAAAAGGCCACACATCTAGTGAGCCACGAGAGAGTGCCTGGCTGGCAGACGGGCACATTGGAGCAAAGAGGACTTCATTAATCTCCCTGAGAGCACAGGCTGATCTGAGACCTTCACAAAGTCCACCGATACCTCCACTCCTCTAGGAGAGGTGCTGTCAGGACACCCATTGTAGAGGTGACATTCAGAGACCGAGGGTTAGGAGTGATCTGAGCTTCCACTGCTCACAGATGAGAGATTGCTTCTAAGCCATGGTCCCCACTTCTCCTGGCCAGGCTCCCAACGGGCATTTCCTGTCCTATTGGTACAATCTTTCTTCAGTTCATAGCAACTGATCACAGGAAGGAGACACCCGTCTGCAGAACGCCAAAGCATGCCTGTAGCCAGGGAGCAAGCCTTGTTCTTATCTGTGACTGGGACAAACACTGCTCCACAAACAGGAGTGTTCATCACAAAGACAACAGTCGGACTGTGACGGCGTTAACACCAGAGATACAGTGATCGAGAGCACCGAGCTAGGTAGAGCTCACAAATGTGAGCCATCGCTCCGGAGTAAAGCTTACCTCCGCAGATCATTTCTACTGTTAACACACAAGTATGAGAGGCAAAACCCACCACTGCACCATCAAGATGGGCACCGACTTTCCAAAGTGACACCAATCAAGTGGGTACTCCACGCGGAAGGGAGCCACTGCCCCAGCCACCAGAAGCTCAAGCCTGCTGTTTTCCACTGAGGAGGACAGATAACTGTTCCTTCACAAGATGCAAGGACGTGAATCCATGTGTGAGCAGCACTGTCAGACTGGGCCCGGGGACAGGCGGTTCCAGGAGGGTCTGTTCACATACAAGAGCCCGGCTGCCGGCACCCCGGCACTGTGTTACCTGTTTGCTGTTCTTCTTCTCTTCCGTGTTTTTCTTATCGTTTTTTTTGTAAGCGTCGAAAGTGGCGGGGTCAACGCTGTACAAGCACTCCGTCCACTTCCCGTAGAGAGCACAGAGCTTCTTTTTGCTGGCGAGAGAAGGTGTTGTTAGTCACCAATTCAGCCCGTGTTGTGCTATAGTTACCGTTACTATATTTTATAAGTCCATCCTTTAATGAAATAGATATTCGGACTTTTCTGTTATTTGAATGCCTGTTTATCAGGCAGCATACTTTAAATATCTAAATAAGCATTTGCAGTCAACATTGAAAAAGAAACCTTACCTTTTATCTTGTATGTAGCCTTCAACTTTGTGTAATTCCTTGCCAAAAAGACCACATGGCTTAAAATTCAACACACACTTGTCCCCGGTCCTACAAAGGAAAGGCGAAGTTCGCATGATCACGCAATGCCAAGGAAGCAGTTGGGAACATGAGGGTGGCCTTCCTGGTGGCAGCACTGGTGACCGACTCTCCACCACGTCCCCCATGAGCACTGCCTGCACAAGCCCAGAAGCATCCACAGAAAATCAGTGACAGAATCTGAAACTAATTTTTCCAACTAACTCCACACTGCTCCTCCCTCACCTACCCTACCCTGAATAAGTGCCACAGAGATGTCAGCAGGTGATGGGCAGCAGGCCGAGACCCGGGGAGGCCCAGGGTCCGCCCAGTCTGTCTACACAGAGACGTCAGCAGACATTATTTTAAAGGGAAGGGCTTCTCTTCACTCAGGAGTTAAATTCCCACCAGCAGTAAAGCCTTTGGAAGAGACTGACGTGAGGAAGAGCTCAGGCACGAGCCTGAGTGCGCCTTACTTGTGGTTTATGATCTCCACATTGCCGTACTGTTCGATCCAGAGTTTGCCCACGATGATGTTGTGCACACAGCAGGTGGGGTTTGTCCATGTGTATGCTTCGTTGTGTCTAAAAAACAACCCCAAACCCAGAGAGGTAGCTGAGAAGAACCATTTAGTCTAAAACTGAGGTTTCTTCAGGTGCCATTCAGGATAAGAAAGCAGGCTGGGGAGCTGGCTGGGGTGACATGCCTGCTGCAGAAGCACAAGGACCTGGGTTCAATCCCCAGCACCGTGTGAAAGCAGGGTGTGGCATGCACCTGTAACCACAGCAATGGAAGCAGGCACATGGGCAGATGCCAGGGGCCTACTGGTTCCAGTCAGTGAGACACTGTCTCAAAAATACAGTCAACAGCAATAGAAGAACTCTGATAGAGTGACCTTTGGTCTCCACACACACCCCCAAACACATAGGCACACACATACATGCATGACACCCACACTGATATTAATTCATGGTAAAACAGAGATTACCTGCCCATTCTTATTGTTTTAAAAATAAACTATATACTAACTGAATGCCCCTAATTCAAAAGTTCAAACTCCCAAACTCTCAAATGCTTGCAAACTGACACAAAAATAAAAAAGCCTTTGATTCCAGAGCATTTGGATCTTGGACTTTCAGATAATATGTTCATTCAACTGGTAAGATCTACACAGACATTCCAAGACCCAAAGTCTCCTAAATATGGACTAGTTGTCTCCTAAGCCTTTCTGAAAAGGAATATTCAACCTGTATATCATTCAAAAGTTTGGTGAAACATGAACAGAAAAATTAGAGGTATAAAATAAAAATGAAGGTCCATTTGGCATTTTCCAGAGAAGGTCCCTTCCAGTTTACCCTAAACTAACTCAAAACTCATAATGGTACAGATCCTTTACTTTTGAAAAAAAAAATGTTTTTGTTCTTTGCAGAGTGGTAGTTATTTCAGGGGGTCTTTATATGTTCTAGACAATAACCCTTTGTTAGGGTACGCCATTTCCAATAGTCTATAGCTTATCTCTTATACCCCGCATAGTGTAATTCAGAAAGAGCTTTAAACTTAGTCCAGTTTTTAAACTGGATTTTGTGCATTGGGCTTTTCACACTGTTTATGTGAGAGATTTCTACCTAACACCAACTCCTAACCATTTCTGTTTTCTCCCAGAGCTTTCTAGTCTGCCGTTCTTCGTCTGTGATTTACACTGACCGCGTCTCTGTGGAGCCCACTTCCGGACTGTCTCCCCTACCCCACTGCTGCCACCACCGAGGTGTCTCGCGGTGACTGTAAATCTCGGTCTCAGCCCAGCATCTCTTAGTGTTTCTTGCTCCTTTTCAAAATTGTCAGCAGTTTTAGCTGTTCTATTTCATTTGCTTTTCCGTATAAATTTAGAATCAACTCCTTTATGCCTACAGAAAATACCCGGGGCTTAGGGAGACAGCTCTTAAGCACTTGCTGTAGTGTAAAGACCAGAGTCTGCACCCCAGTACCCCCATAAATGTATTTATCACTCTTGTATTCAGGAAGTGGAGACAGGTATCCCCTGGGTGGGCTGGCTGGCTAGATTAGCTCATCAGTGAGTTCTCGGTTCAAAGGGGGGATCCTGCCTCAATATATAAACTAGAAAATGATCAAGGAAGATGATGTTAACCCTTGGCCTACACGCCTACACACACACACACACATGCACACGCACACGCACACACGTACACGCACACACGCACACGCACGAACACAGACACACGTGAACATGAATACACACACACATCATCATCATCATCCAGAGACTCTGATCTGGTTTTAGAGAGACTACTTGTAGGTCACTGGGAAGAACCAGCATCACACTGGATCGAGGCTCCGGGGGTATCCCTCCGTCATGGCAGTTTCAGCATCCAGCCTCCTGCATATCTCATCTTCATGCTGCTCCTGAGCGTCCTGGTCACTATTTCCCTTGCTACATTTTTCAGTCCTAAAATGCCCAAAACTACGTCAATGTCTTTGCTAGAACAGCTGTCTGTCTGTTCATCTTCAGCAACAGTAGTGACAGCTACTTCTAACTCTGGGTCATCCTGGGGTTAGAAGCTGTTGATTGCCCTTCACTGTGAGTTGAGTTTTTTTCAGTTTCTTAGTAAAGCCAAATATTCAGAATTATATTCAGAATACTTGAGTTTTATGAGATTTGCTATTCTCTTTAAATCTAGAGAATACTGACTTTTTTTTTAAAGATTTATTTATTCATTATGCATACAGTGTTCTGCCTGCATATACAGCTGCAGGCCAGAAGAGGGCACCAGATCTCATTACAGATGGTTGTGAGCCACCATGTGGTTGCTGGGTATTGAACTCAGGACCTTTGGAAGAACAGTCAGTGCTCTTAACCTCTGAGCCATCTCTCCAGCCCGAATACTGACTTTTGATTGGAGGCAATGAACACAATGTCAGGCTGTAAACCCTGACCCTCCTCCTCCGTCACCTTTGTCGTCCTGATTCTGGTGTCACTATAATTTCCAGTCTTTGTAACGCTCCTCAGAAGATCCCTCAACTGCCATGCAGTCCACGGCCACCCAGTGGTCAGATCTCCGGGCCTTTGGTATACCATTTGGGCGAAGGCCGTGGAGACTGGTGTAGGAGAGGTGGTACCCCTTCCCCGACACACGTGTGTGTTCCAGAATACCACCTCTGCCCTTAGACTGGGGTTTGAGCTCTCGGCCTACCTCTGGGACAGGAACGATAGTTCTTAGTCCTTTATGCAGTCCCTGCGCTGTGGAGTGTTTTCTCAGGAGCAGATTCTGTGGTTGAAGCAGCAGCAGGCTACTATAGGAGAGTGCCAGAGGCCTGGGCAGTGGTTGGGGAGGCTAGGAGGTAAACCAAGCCAGAATCGTCTTTGTGACTCTGAGGGCTGCTTCTGGGATCTCTAAGGAGAGACAAGGTCTCTCTTGGGACCTCTTTTGCCTTCATCTAATGCCACTGTGTAACCTGCCGCTCAGACTCTCAGCAAGGAGGAAATACAAAACCAGGAATCTCACTGCGGCTGGCTGTCCCCAGGATTTAACTTTTCTCCCCATCTGCTGTCCTTCCTGTCCACAGCCCCAGGAGGGTGCTCTGTGGCTCCTGCCCAGGGTCTCTGGCCCCAGTGGGCAGGTGGGGGAGGGCGGAGTGCATGTGAGCTTACTTAGAAATGCCTAGGCTTTGAAAGTCAATCCTGCAGAAGAGAGCTCAAACAACCCAGTGTCCAACAAGTCACACAACTGTCACCTGAAAAGATTCAGAGTGGATTAATTTCCAAGAATCCTTTAAACAAAACACGGGCACCATGGTATCCAATGGTTCTGTAAGCTGCCATAGAGTTAATCCTACCTGCCTAACAGCTGATCCAGCCTGGCGGACAGTGGCTACTGCCGCGCTTCCAGGAGTCCTTCGGGGGCAGACGTGAACACTCGGTGGCACTGTTTCTTTCCTGTCCCCAGCTAGAACGGCACAGTCTGTCTGTGCACGTGCAGACACACAAGCAGACACACACAGAGGGAAGGACTCTGCTCCACTTACTCTAAAAGCTCCAAGGTGATCGTTCCTTTGGGTTCCGCTTCTACACTCTTCCCCCAGAACTTCAGCTTGGGGTAAATTGAGCCATGGAAGATGAAATCGTTGTTTAGCCCTTCTGCGTGGAATGCACTGATTGGGGGGTGATGGCTGACCTGTTCTGAGATGAGTCTAAATCCAAGGTCATCTCTTAAGATTAGAAGAAATAGGAAAAAATGCATTGTTTCAATTAACTGTCACTGAATGTGTTAAAATAGTCAGGAAAACGTTCAGTGACGAAAAACAATTTTCATTATCATCCTGTTACGTTGCACCCTACATAAGGAACAACACAGACCTAACCTAAGCTCCTTGTCTGATCATGGAGCCAGCTGCTTACACATGTTAAATACAGGACATCCACAGGAGCTTGGGCGATTCATGGCTGTGGTCTGAATGTGCAATGTTCCCGCAAGCTTGTGTTTTCGAAACCTTGGTCCCCAGCTGGTGGCACTGTTTTGGAAGGCTGTGGGACTTTTAGAAGGTGAAGCCTTAACCGAGGGAATCACTGAAGGCTAGCTGGAAGGTCTGATAGCTTCCTGGTTGCAGAAGCAATAGAACCGGCCTCCACACATCCCTGCCACGTCTTCCCATGCCACTGCATCCTCTCCAACTGTAAGGCAAAGCAAGCTCTTCCTCCTTGAAGATGCTCTTGTTTTGGTTACAGTAACAAGAACAATGACTACTACTGTGAGTGCCACGGCTCTGAGGGGCAAGGAGCCAAGAACTACCACAGAGTTACATGGCACAACACACCTCTCACCAGAGATTCACTGAGAAGAACAGGAGGAGGGGGGCTGCCTCTGCGCAGGAAAGAAGCAGCAGGCTTCACACAGAGTTTGGGGGGGAAGGGAGAGCTTTCCAGGGTGGTCTGGCATTGATGGGATTTTTAGTCTGATCTTGGGGAAAGATCTGGGATTGGTGGGGTTCTGTGGCTTGATCCTGGGCCAACCTCAGAGATTGGTGGGGTTCTGTGGCATGATCCTGGGCTTTTTTTCTCTGTATGGTGGAGCTTGGCTGCCTGCACCTTGAGGGACTAGAAATAGCAGCTGGCAGGTAGCAGAGTAGTCTGGGGACAGGGCCTGGTCACTCATACCTCAAGGGGCTTAAAACTACAATTACTCATCAGATGTAAAACATCATTCCTTTTATACTGAGATAGTGAAACAAGGCATTTCTATTTATAATATTTACAGGATAAATATGAACAAAATAAGAAAAGGGGGAAGACAGAGAAAAGACAAAGCCAAATGAATCCCCTAGTTACATATAAACAACAAACCAAATGAATCCCTAGTTACATATAAACAAGCTAGTGCAGGAATCCTATCCAGTGACTGCTTAAAGGTGATAGACGCACGTTAATATGGGCATGGTGTGTGTGTGTGCGTGTGCGTGTGCATGAGTGTGTGTGTGTACCCATATATATATGGGGGTGGGGTGGGGAGACAATGTCTCATTGTGTAACCTGACTGGCCAGAACTGGTAGACTAAGCTGGCCTCTAACTCAGACATGTGCTACCATTCCTAGTGTGCTAGTTGGTTTTTGTCAACTTGACACAGACCCAGACATATCTGGGAAAAGGGAATCTTCCTGTGAAAATGAACTCCATAACATCGGCCTATTGGCAAGCTCTGTAGAACAGTTTCTCCATCAATGGCTGATGTGGGGGGACCCGCTCACTGTGGTGGTGCTGCCCCGGGGGTGAGTGGTCCTGGAGACTGTAAGAAAGCAGGATGAACAAGCAGACCATAAGCTGCTCTGCTCATGGTCTTCTTCAGTCCCTGCCTCCAGGTTCCTGTTGTGAGTTTCTGCCCTGCTAGTTTTCTGTCAACTTGACACAAGCTAAAGTCATCTGAAAGGAGGGAACCTCAATTAAGAAAATGCTTCTGTAAGACTGGGCTGTAGGCAACCCTGGAGGGCATTTTCTTAATTAGTGATTGATGGGGGAGGGCCCATCCCATTGTGGGTGGTACCATCCCTGGGCTGTGATCTTGGGTTAAACAAGAAAGCAGGCTGAGCAAGCCTGTGAAGAGCAGCCCTCCATGGCCTCGGCAGCAGCTCCTGCCTCTGGGCTCCTGTCCTGCATGAGTTCCTGTCCTCACTGCTTTTGATGATGAGCTGTGATATGGAATGTGAGTGAAATAAACCTTTTCCTCCCAGAGTTGTTTTTGGTCATGGTGTTTTATCACAGCAACAGAAATTCTAAACCCCGGATCTACCTTAAAAAGGAGGACAGTTAATCCTGGAGGGTCAGGAACACTGAAACCTTGCAACTGTTTTTTATGGTGGTATAATGCATGTCTACTTTTGTAGACACCGACATCAAAATAACTAATGTGTTCCAGTCACAAATAATTGTTTAGGGAAACTCAAAATACCCATCTTCCTTAATTGAAAAATAAATCTATGTAAGTCATCCGCGTTCAACACGCCATTCCGAATGGAGCCGAAGGCCTCACCGGACTAGCTCGTAGGTCTCCCCCAGGAGCGGGTTGAAGGGCTTTCCAGTCCGCTCCCACTGCGAAGCCACGGCAGACACCGCAAACGCTGCCACACACTGCAACAGAGGAGAGCACCGCGTTAACGCTGGTCACGACCCGCAGGGCCGCAGCTGCACAGGCGACAGCGACCGACCCAATTATCTCGTGCCTTGATCAGTCTGGGTTTTAACATGGCTTTCTCAGGCTACTGTGGAAGCCTCACTTAGGACGGCAGTCCCTGATCTCTTCCTGTAGTGCTCGGCTCAGGCCAGGCCCTTATGACAGCCTGTGAGAACTCTACTTGGGCCAAGGACTTTCAAGACTCTGTAAGCCGGTGACTTCCAATATGCTGAAGTTGTGTATGTAAAAGTTCTAATATGTACATTCTAAAAACCTCTATATGTAAAAGTTTTTAAAACTTGAAATCCCAGATGTCTCTCAGTATTTGGGAGGGACTGGGTCTCACACACCCCCCAGGTGTCCGTCTGTGGCTACTCAAGCCTCAAAATGGCACAGCATGTGCTTTTAACTTACACAATCCTCTTGTATAGACTACATATTTTCTAGTTATTTATAGTATCTAACACAATGTAAACAATGTTATTTCATTCACAGAATGATGGCAAAGAAAAGTCTACATATTCAGTTAAAGGTATAGTTTTATTCTGCACACAGTGTGGATCTGAGGTTGGCTGAATCTCTGAATGTGCAGCCTATGGATACAGAGCACCAGTTATACATTTAGAATTGAGAAAAAGAGATGTAAAACTAAACAATGTCATTGGTGTTAAAGCCAATCTGGTTGACTAGTTTTATGTCAACCTGACATAAGCTAGAGTCATTTGGGAAAAGGGACCTTAACTGCGAAACTGTCCAGACCAGGCTGTCCTGTGGTCAAGCATGTGGTGCATGTTCTTGGTTGATGACTTATGTGAGGCCCAGCCTATTGTGGGGGTGCCACCCCTAGGCTGTGATCGTAACCTACAAGACAGCAGGCTGATCAAGCCGTGAGGAAAAGCCAGTCAGCAGCACCCTCCACAGCCCCTGCATCAGCTCCTGCTCCAGGTTCCTGCCCTGGCTTCCCTGATGTGGAACTGTAAACTGAAATAAACCCTTTTCCTCTCCAAGATTTTTATGGACATGGTGTTTTATCACAGCAACAGAAACCCTGGATGAGATTCTAAAGAAGTTAAAAACCTACTAAGTGAAGGAAAGAACAGAGAGACACTGCTTTGTCTGAAGAGCACTGCACCTACTGTACTTGACCTGTGTCTCAACATCCATGTACACCACACAAACATCTTTGATTTTGAAAATTAAAAAGTTCAACATCTTATTACTTGAGTGCTTATGAACAGGCATACTAGAACATACCTCCAGCTTAAACATGTGTTTGTAACTATATTCATCCTTTATGAGAAGATCCTCAATAAAGTTTGAAATAAGAAATGTCGATTTCCTCATCACACATGCTACCTTCTAAACTGAAGACTTGGGAAAAACTTGCAACAGCCAAGTGTGGCTGTGTGACCCTTTCTATGACTCTTGACATTTCCATCAGTCTTCACTACAGTGACAATCCCAAGGAGATGCCAGGGGGACTGGATGCAAAAAAAAATTTTTTTTTTTTCAAGACAGGGTTTCTCTGTGTAGTTTTGGTGCCTGTCCTGGAACTCACAGAGATCCGCCTGCCTCTGCCTCCTGAGTGCTGGGATTAAAGGTGTGGGCCACCACCGCCTGGCTGCAAAAGGCTCTTAAGCTCTGAGAATATCCTGCCCAGCTGGACTTGACACCAGTAGACACATGTGTGAGCATCTATGCCAGTGTCTGCATGTGTGTGACCACGTGTGTTTGTGGGTGGGTTGGGGAGGAGGTGGGAAACAAGTCTCTGAGACTTACACTTCTCCCAAGGTCACTTGCCACATACCTGCATCCTTTCCACAGGATCGGAAAATGAACTGGCTTTGTGGATGAGGTAAGTGTGCTCCATGTATTCAGTCAGCCGTTGCAGGAAGCTCAGAGGTTCATTAAATATGACTGGCATTGTGATCTTAGACAGTTCCTATTAGGAAGAAACCAACTGTTAGACCAGTGTTATACCAGCGAGTGTGGCTGCCGCTGCTTTATGTAACGTGTTCCTGAAAAAGAAGCAAGAGAAAAGTCCAACTCAAGAATTAAACCTTAATTAAAACCAGCTCAGCTTCATAAATCTTTACAAGTATCTGATAGTATGGAGTATCTAGCAATACAAGAAAACACGGACCAAACATTCTTCCTGGCTGCACAGAACGCCCAATGTAATGTAAGCATGAGTCGACGGCAGTGATAACTCTACCTCAGACCAGCCCTGGAAGTGGTTAACAGTGACGGAGACACAACACCATCTTCACACTGGTGTCGGAAGCTCACAGGGGACAGAGGTGGCTCTGGCACACAGGGTTATGGCATCAGCAAACAAAACGCCGTCAGAAACTGCCAGGAAAGCCACTAACAAGCAACTCTACACTTTAAGCAACCAACCAAGTCTGTTTTCTTGTCTCACTCTGCAAATCTCCCCTCCAACCCTTCTCATGGAATACTGACCAGCTGAGGCCTCGGGTTGAGTCATGTATCACTGGTAGCTCAAATAAACCCATGCTGATCACAATACACCTAAGTTCATCTTACAAAAACCCAACTTATTAGTAGATGTATTTATTGTGTGGGGATGTATGTACAGATGTGTGTGTACCACAGGGCACATGAGGAGGTAGAAGTCAGTTCTCTCCACCCACCATGCGGGTCCTGGGAGCAACAGGTCGTCATGCTTCACAGCAGGCACCCTATCCCAGCAAAGCCGTTAGCTGGCTCTCATTCATCTTGTACCAGTGGACTAAGGATCAGTCACACACCACTTTTGTGAGCAATCTCTAAAAGAAATTCGAGGTCATTTTTGGCTGATGCTGTGCTTTTCTGAGCATAAGTATGGGAGACTTCAGAAGGTTATCCTTGTTTAACAAATAAAATGATATTACATCCCCCTCTGCCAACTCACACACTGGACAAGGCTCTCTGACATGGAAAAGCCACCTTTCAACTCGTTTCCCATGTACTGCCAGCAAGGTCCATCATAGGTACTTTTAAAAAAATGTCATTAAGTAACAAACTCCTCTTGGTATTCTAGAATGTTTCCCTTGGAAATCTAGCTACTATCACCTGGCCAGGTGGACAGTCCTAGGTGCAATCCAGGATGAATGCCACCAGACTCAACTCTAACTCTTCCTTACATCTGCTTCTTACTTGCTTGCACAATTAAAATTACATGCAGCCTTCACAAAACTGCCACCAAATGCATTTAAAAACAACCAGAAAATGTAGAATACGCAAGTAGCAGCTCAACATATTAAAGAGCATGTTCCTGCTGCCTCACTAGGGAGAGGAGGAAGAAAGGGAATCTGTACAGAGAAAGAAAAGAAGAAGGTTCAGCCGAGATCTCATTAAACCCAGAGCCGCTGTGGGATAAGTCACAGACAGTGGGACCACCCAGGCTCGTTCCAATCAAGAAGTTCCAGGCTCTCCTTCCTTCCTTTCTTCCTTCCTTCCTTCCTTCCTCCCTCCCTCCCCTCTGTCTTTCATGAATGAGTGCTCTATTTGCACATATAACTTTATGCTGGAAGAGGGTGTCAGATCTCATTACAGATGGTTGTGAGCCACCATGTGGGTGCTGGGAATTGAACTCGGGGCCTCTGTAAGAGCAGCCAGTGCTCTTAACTGCTGAGCCATCTCTCCAGCCCCCTGTACTCTACTTTTTTCTTTTTAAAGGCATGATACACAGTATTCTTGGTATAAAGTAAACTACAGGGCTGGTGGAACGGCTCAGTGGGTGAGAGCGTTTGCCACTCAAGTGCAAAGACCTGAGTGCAAATCCTGAGCACCCATGTAAAACGCGGGTGTGGCCAGGCACGTGTCTGTAACCCTAGTGCTGTGGAGATAAGAAGACAGAGGGCCTTGATGGCTGCCAGTCTAGCTCCAGGTTCAGTGAAAAACCTGTCTGTCTCATGGGAGTAAGTCAGAAAACAGAACAGGACATCCAAACGCGCACGCACGCACGCACGCACGCACGCACGCACGCACACACAGTAAAATCTGAAAACGTCTCTTCCTCTCCTTTCCCCACCCTCCCAGAGATAATGCTCCAGCACACTCAGGATCAGATCGAGGTGTGTGTGTGTTCATGTGTATACATATACAGGTCTACGCAAAGGAGAAGGAAATTCTTTTGACGTTTGGCATCAGCTCTATGTATTGCCACTATACTTTCACTAGGTTTTTTGGGGGTGGGTACTACATACATGTTAAGACCACTAAATCAAATCAGCTTAACCCCTGCCTTCAGGTTAACTTTGTTAACTCTAATTTTGACCAAATCCAACTTTGTGCCACTTTCTTCAATGATCACGCTAACAGCATTTAACGTAACACATAGGTGACAAAAACAGTTTACAGAACACTCAGACCAGTTCTGGACACACTAGTAAACAACACACATATTACTTAATTAAAACACTTACAATATGCACCTTCCATGAAGTGTTTAACCCTGTGTCTTCCGTAACACAGGCATATTTAGCTTCAAGTAGACTTCTCTATGGAGAGTCGAGGTCAGTTCTGCTCAGGTGAAATGTTAGCAAATACGATGGAGCAAAACGTCTCCTGAATGCATGCCAAGCCAAGCGTCCACTCCTGCTGGAGTGGCCAGACCTTCGGCATCCAAGGTGCCAAAGGAAGTGCACGGCACTTCCCTTCGCTCAGCCAGGTCACTCTTACTCAACAAGTCCTTAACCGAGCACCTCTGGGGCCACACTCTCTCAGGCACCGAAACTCCTAACCTCGCTCTCGTCACTACACTTCCCTAACAGATGTCCAGGCCCAGTTCCGGTTTGTCCTCCTTAGGCATCCCAGTGCTCACCTAATTTCTGTTCCTTCAGGAGTGTGACCATCCAAAGCTCACAATTTAACATTTGATCATGCTAGATTACATTATCCTGTTTTATGTGTACTGATCATCTTACCCATGCTAAGTAATAACAATTTGTGTGTGAGTGTGTGTGTGTGTGTGTGTGTGTGTGTGTGTGAGTGTGTGAGTGTGTGTGTGTGTGTGTGTATGCACTACATGTACGTCCTGGTGTCTAGAGGTCAGAAGAGGGCACTGAATTCCTTGGAACTGGAGCTATGGACGGTCCATGTAAAACATATGGGTGCTGGTCCTTGAACCTGAGTCTTCTGGAAGAGCAATACACTTAACTGCTGAGCTTCCCCTCCAGCCCCAGGAGAGTATTCTATACCCTGGATGTTACCCTCGAGGAGGGTACACTCCAAGTGCCTGTGCCCTGGTGCACTTAGACATCGCCATTCTCCTTGACCCAAGTTTATTACTTCTAAGTAGCTGTCACCAGGGACCATCTCCCCTGCCCTTCACCAGACTACTTAGATTCGTGGAGACAAGGGTCTGTTTACTGACACACTAGTTAACAGGCTATGCAGAGTGGGAGAGGATTACATTAGAAAGAAAAGGAGCAAGGGACTCTGAGGGACACCAGTCAGAGTACACTCCACAGATAGACCAACAGAGGGACTTTGACAACTCTTACAACTTCAACAATTTTTATACAAACCTAAAACTGTTCTAAAAACATAAGGTTTGAAGAGCAAAGTTTGATTAATCATATTTAAGGAAATTACCTTTCTGGTTTTCTTTGATAGAAAACACATAGTTACCATCACCTATAATAAGAGTATGCTGTCCCCAATGGAAGAATAGGCATTATAGAAAATATGACACTGTTAATTAATAACATTATTGTTATTTTAGATTTATATCACTTTGAGTAGTTGTCAATTATTTATGTTTCAAAAGTTGTTATGATTGTTTATCTCGCTTAAAAAAATATTCAAGGGCTGGAGAGATGGCTCAGCGGTTAAGAGCACTGACTGCTCTTCCAGAGGTCCTGAGTTCAATTCCCAGTACCCACATGGTGGCTCACAACCATCTGAAATGAGATCTGGCACCCTCTTCTGTGTTATAAATAAATAAATAAATAAATCTTAAAAAAAAAAATTCAAGCCTGAAAAATCAAGTCACAAAACAACATAAAAAGAAACATATTTTGTGGTGGCACATGTCTTTTAATTTTAGTACTCATGAGGCAGAGGCAAGTGGATCTCTGTGAGTTCAAGGCCAGCCTGGTCTACAAATTGGATTTCAGGACAGCCAGAGCTGTTACACAGAGAAACTCTGTCTCAAAACAACAACAAAAACAAAACCCCAAACCATAATTTAATTTTGTTACATATATATTTGCACAGAAACATACTACAAGATGGGAACACCAAGAAGATAGCAATGGTTATCTTCAGTTGGTAATGTGGGAATCTTATATGTCTTTTGTCCATATGGAAATAATATAAATTTATTTGAATTTTTACATTGAAAATATATTTTACTCACATAAAATTATACATTGAAATACAAATATAAACATACAATTAAACAGCAGTTATTCTATATTGAATATAATTAAGTGAAAATAAATATTAATAAAAACAGAACATATAAGATCACATATAAAATTATGAAACAAACCTAATGAATATAAGTGCTAATGGTATATTTTAATATGTATAGTATGCCTTTTTCTTATATGTACATGTATTGTTTTGCCTGCATGTATGCATGTGTACCACATGCATTCCTGGGGCCCAGAGAGCCAGACGAGGACATCAGATCCTCTGGAACTGGAGCCACCATGAGGGTACTGGGAACAAACTCAGGTCCTCTGCAAGAGCAGCCAGTGCTCTCTCAACTGCTGAGCCACCTCTCCAGCCCCAAGAATATTTTTTCCCCACTCAAGCTTTCTCTGTGGTAGCAGGCTACATCCGTTTATTTATTCATTTTATTCCACATTCCTTTCCTTGTGTTTTTGTGTATAACCTTTGACACAACCTTGCTTCCACACAACTTTGCAGACAGCAGACACTGTGCACGTTTCTGCTAAACTGTAAAAGCTGGCATTTATTGCTTGC